ACTGCCTTCAGTTTGCCCCCCCCTCAAAAAGCTTGACCTGACATAACCTCAGCAGACTTCCTGGCTTCTCTGAAAATCAATGCAGTATACAGTACATATCAGTGCGCGGCGGGTAACGACGTTTGTAGTAAATTCTGCGCTGACAGGAACGACTTCAAGCGACTTGGGTAAATGTTAACCTATAAAAATAGCAATTATTATCCTTGATCTGTGTTGACATTATTGTTATGGGGAACAAGTGGCGTAAATTTTATTTTCCCACTGTGGCAACTTTCAAGTATCGTGACAGACTATGGGAAGTACAGACATGCATCCATCCTGAGTGTCTATCTGCCAAAGTTCCGGCACTGACTAACAGGATGGGGGGTGGTAAGCATGGCAGTCTGGCTCCGATATGGGTCATCTCTGGGCTTCAGTGTAACAGTGCACACCAGCTCAAACCCAACTGGACCCTTCAGCAAATTTTTGTGAAAGAGACCCCATGAAGCTGTAAATAAACAAGCCCACAATCATGTATCCAAGAATCAGCTCTGTGGGCCTCCAGCGCAGAACATTGTTCATCTTCAGTGGGTCCCCGTAAATAGCATTCAGCTAGAACTAGGAAGGACTTCATCCTCCCAGGAACTCCTTCAGGAAGGACTGTACCTCACACCGCTGCGTAATTGTGACACGTTCTTTCACAATCGCTCCCAGTAAGCAAGGCAGCCCGTAAAGCTTCCAGCTCTGCGGAATCGAGGTGGCGGGTTATGCCGAGCTGGATGGGCCCTTAAATGCCGCGGCGCAGCCATGGTCTCTCGTCTGGCTGTGCTGAGGAGCAATCCAGGGAGCCCCGTGAGAAAGTTCAGAGGTCACCTGCTGGTTACGAAACAGTGAGTACTCCTGCACCTAGAAGAGGGCCTGGGAATCTGGGCTTGGCGGAGCTCAAGGCAAACAAAGAGTGTGTGTGGGGAGACATATGCACACACGTAACGCATACGCTCCTATAGTCACGCCCTCCATGGCCCTCTCACGGACCCCGTCATTTACCAGATCCTTGACATTTGTGCTGACCAATAGGAGCAGGGTGAGGATGGGGTGTTAATGACGTGACAACTTTCAATGGCAAAATAAACAAACAAAGCATTTTGGTGACGATGCGATCACCTGGGATCCTAAGTGCTGAGGTTTAGTCTTCCGGCATGAGGTGAGGGATGTCAGATCTAATGTGTACTGTCTCCATGGAGACGATAATGCATCTTCAGCGTGGAAGACCTGCTCATGCTGATACTGTTTCTCAGATTCATTTAGTGGGAATTGCAAGAGCTGCAGTCAACAAAGTTCAGAGCGTATAAATGGAAAATGAAATGGAAGGTTTAATGCCGATGAGGTGATTATCAAAGTTTATTCACTAGATGATTTTTGTCATGGGGAATGGAGCAGTCTGGGGTACCACGTCTGTTCTGAATTTCCACACATCGGGAAGCATCCATAAACTCCTCCACATTCCGCACTCCCACGCAGGAACAACGCAACGCCGTTCCAACGCGGGCGGCAGAAAATCTGTGGGCACACAGCCAAAGCTCAACCTCCAGACCACAGAATGATTCACTGACGGGCCACAGACGCTGTGTGACTGAGCCATCGGGGGGCGGCGGCGAGCACAGCGACATCCTCCAGCCTACCACCCCACAAACATACATTTACATTTTTATTATTCATTTATTTACCCGAGGTAGCACACATTTTCGTGATAAGGCAGGGTCAGACAATCCCTGGAGCAGTCAGGTGTTAAGGGCCTCAAGAGTGACATCACTCCGCTGACCCTGGGATTTGAACCGGTGACCTTCCCATTACAGGTTCAGCAGCCGAAACCAAACCACCACGTATACAGACACACCCACCCGCAAACCCACTGCAAGAACACATCCAAAGGGCTGTTTTCTTAAATAATGTTTTTTTTTATTTTATTGCAGGTAACAATCCATAATCGATACAGACTAAAGCAATACTTAACTACACTAGTTCTGAGTTATCATCACCTCGTAAGCATCACAATCTCCAGCACATGACATGTACGATGGAAGACACTAAAATATTAGCAGGCTTGTCAATGAACACAAACGTCACACTGAAATTACTGATAAGTTCCAATAACAAAACCGGGAAAAAAACCTTCCTTTTAAAGTTGGCAGAAAAAAATGTACAAACAGCAAAAATTTAATTAAAATTTTAACAAATATATTAACACGATATTTATACATTTGGTTTCATTCTGTAAACTAAGCTTTATCATTAAAAAATGTTAACATTGCATATACCATTAACAACTTGTACCTAAGTAGCAAGGCTTACTTTAGTATCAAGTATTACTTTATTTTTAAAATAATACAGCATTGTTATAAAATATCTTAGTGGAATTCCATCACGTGAAGGGGAGCCTGTGACAGATCCTTGTTGTACAGCATCCACTCGACCATTTTAAGTGTAATTTGGCTGGATTCTTTGTACATGTACACTCTATATATACAGCACTGGGCACAACGAGTGAGGTCACTTCCTGTCCACAGGCCTGAGTGTCGAGTTCCATTTCTGAATCTCCAGATAAGTACACAATATTCTACATTCACGCACCACACGTTACAAACCAAGTGCTGCGGGATTGAGATCCCTCATTGGTTTCCGATGAGCCCCGTTTCCAATCCGAAACACACGACACCCATTAAAAGAGCCATCATCTCAGCATCTGACTTTCCCCAATATCTGTCATCCAATCAACAGCTTTGACGATGGTCTTCTCAGCCAATGAGCTCAGGTCAGTACAACACCTTCAGTGCAGCTCGAGAGCAGTGATCAGCAGCGAATGCAGGTGGAGTCACAGGAGGACTACGGGTGCCGGACACGAACAGCCGACGCGTGCAGTGCCCAGATGCTCTTATTGGTTTAAAAGTTAAAATGCATTGCAACCAATACGCATGCCCGCCCTGGCTCAACCTACTGCCCTCTGATGGATTTCTTCTTGTAATATAAGCACATTATATCAAAATAAACATTTGTGATTTTCTTTAAGCATCTGATCTGTAGGTTGAGGATGGACTTTTAGACGCATTCAGCACTCGCAGAGAAGGCCAAGTCTCCCACGTGTTCAAGACCAGTCAGAACCCACCTTCACAACAACGTCTGTAAGGCTTTGGACTGAAATTATGAAACATCTGACTTCAAAAAATAAATTACATTTGTTTCATTTTCTGTCTGTTTCTGCGCAGTGACCTGGCTTTTCTGCTCTGAGGTAGGGCTTCAATAATTTACTGAATTACTATAAACAGAAAGAAATTGTGGAAAACTCGGACCGTACCAAAGATGACACCAGGGACACACAAATGTTTTATGCACATGAATAAATAAAGGTGTTGTCCGCGAATGTACATGTATGTGACCAGTGGGCTGCCTGTCACACATCTCCAAGTTCTGTTCATACCTTCTCACTGGTCGCGATCCAGGGATCACCCCAAACAGATGCAAATTAAATACCAGGGAGGGTGAGAAAACACGCACGATTTACATATTTAATCTACCTCACAGTTCTTGGACTAGTTTTCTAGCGCAATCGAGCAGCGACAGTGTGGTTCCTGATCCGAAGGGAACCCTCTGAGGTCTGGGGTCATCTACAGCAGCGCAAGGTCAAAAGGCTTGGGTGGGCTGCCCGTTTGCCAGTCAATTTCACGAAGTCCTCCCATCTGTGGTGGGGGTGGTGGGAGGGGGGGGGGCAGTCATTCTGTTCATCCTCTAATCTGAGGGAGATAAATGAGAGAAAGACGAGAGAGAGAGATCAGATCAAGTAACCAAAGCAGTTAGACACACGGTGACTTGCAAGCAAACATATTTTTTAAGATCAAACCCCTTGATGTCTGTTCATCAAAAATATTCTGAGGGCAGAAGGAAAAATGATTGGTTATCTCTCTGAACCAATCAGATTGTAGAGGAGGTGGTTCCAAGCAACTAGAGGAGGTGGGACAAAAACATCTGATTAGTTGGTCCCGCCTCCTCTGGTTGCTTGGACCCACCTCCTCTACAATCCGATTGGTTATCTCTCTGAACCAATAATTTTTCCATCTGCCCTCAGAACATTTTTTGTGTAAGTAAAACTCCCATGAGCCTCATGTCCACAAGCCAAACATGGAGCCAAATATGGCTGCCAACAGTAAGATGCTTTCCAGCCATGGTTCACCAAGGAACTGTCCGCTAGGGCAAACCTTCCAAAGTCCATGAAATAAAACTTCACTGAACACGATCTAGATTCACATCCCAGTTATGCAGAAATTCAAACAGAAACTCCTCTCTTTTCATGAGGTGCTTTACGGCGAAGACAGGAACGTGTCCAAATCATGGCCTCAGATAACGCGACCCCCAAAAATCTTCACAAAGGCCCGGGGAACAGCTTTGAAGGGACACAGCTATTTTTAAACGTTAAATTCTTTAACAGGTTCTCAGGTCTCAGGTACATTCAGGACAGAGTCCTCAGGTTCCCGCTCGCAGATCACGCGTCTAACCTTTGCCCTTTCGTACTTGTTTGTGTCTTTTGGAGGGAAGCTTCTCAGATGCCCGCTTTCTCACGGCCAACGGGAGCGGATTTCAAAGGGCTCGACTCCAGCTGCACGCCCTGCCAGCCGCCCGTAAACCTCATCCCTACCGTCTTGCCACTTCCCCTTTGCTGGCCTCCTGTTTAAACCTTATCCTGCTCGTTGCATTTGCTGGAGTAACAGCAGCGAGTTTACTGGCGATGCAGGGAGGTCATCTGAGGCACGGGAAGCGAATATTTATGGCCCGCAGCAGACAGAGAACGGGCCAACTGCGCGACGCCGACATCTTAAACTGGATTGAAAAACTGCCTTTAACTGCAGAGTTAACAAGATGCTGTATAATTACAGACAAGCAAGGACGAAATATTTAAATATTGATTTTCAAAGGAAATCTCAGTAAGCCGAGACAGAGCGGGACTTTCTGCTGTGTTCCGGAAGGCAGAGACCAGCAGGAGGATAGGAAATGATCATTCTGGCTCACAGCCAGAAAGCCCCCCATCGCACCCAGCTTTCGCCGGTCGTGTCGGTAATACAGCTGGGGGAGGGGGCCCTATATCTCACATAAGGTCTAAGACTGACGCTCCCCAGGTGCCCTAGTGCTGGTTACAGTTGGACAGTTGGACCTGCAGATCTGGAAGCTCAGTCCCCACTCTGTTCCAACTTTGAAATGTTGGTGTTAATAGTAATGTGAGCAGCTCTTTTTCCATGCTGTGAAAACTGGGGGAGGGTGGGGGGGAAACAAGGCGGCAAAATGGCCAGCTTAAGAACTCAATCCATGCACTGACACACAGGTGAGCCTGAGTGGTAAATAGGAGCATCACCGGTCACACAGCACCATGACAAGGGAAGGGAAGGACTGAAACCGGCACGCGAGGACCACGACTGCAGAAGCACCTTGTGAAAAATCACCCTGCGGATGTTTCCCCTCCCACATCAATCGATTCCTGTTAACCGAACCAGCAGGCATTTAGCAGCCAGGGACATGAGAGAAGATCAAAGATGAGTCAGACAGTGTCGAACGAGCGCTGAAATTTTAAGAATTCCCGACCCAGCTCCCCCTTTTCTGCGAACACGAAAAACTGGTGAGTGTCAGTGTGATCAAACTAAGCAGGCTTCCCCAAGAAAGAGATTACGGTACGACTGGGGTCTGACTCACACTGCAAAACATGTCCTGGGCTTTCTGCTAGCTTCTGAGAGACCGGGACCCTAGGTCTCCATCTCACCAGAACATAATGTGAACTAAAATCAATAGAGCGGCTTAGTAGGCGATGGCAGGACACTAGGCTTTGAAGCAGGACCGATCCCAGCGTGATTCAGCTAGGAAGTGAAGCCCCGCAGCCCGTGGAAGAAAAAAATAAAGAATTACACACGGCTCCCATTACACCTTCGCTGGGGCTTCACCGCAGCCAAGAACGGTGCGAGTATGGTGGAGAGATCTACACGCCCCCCCCCCCCTCCACGCCTCACAAATCATGTGCTCATGTTACTTATACATGATTTATTTATTTTTCAACTCGTTAACCTTTCCCTGCTAGCATAGCAGGAGCAGCTGTGGCGCAGCAGAGATGGAGGCCACAGTCGGAGCTGTGAGCTTTGCCGACAGAAGGCCGTCGAGGCCGCCACACCAAGGGGGGGCGCTTGGCGGGGCCGAACACTGGCGTTTCAGTCCTCCTGGCTCCTTTCGGGGTGACCGGTATGGCGGCAGGACACGACCAGGGCAGCGGCATCACCCCTATCGCTGGAGCACAACAACAGTTTCATTCACTCAAAGTCACCCCCCCCCCCCCCCCCCCCCCCCCCCCCCCCCCCCCCAACCCTCTTCTCACAGCACACTTCCTGTCTGCTGACGAAAACTCCAAGATCAATGAGGAATTGTTGTCATTCCCAAAGGGCAATAAATATGGCCCCCAAACTGGCTACATTTTCTTTGTGCTAAATCGACCCAACTCCACAGGGCACCTCCTCCCATCTAACCCGGACCCACAAATGCTTGTGTAACTGAGAAATAACACCAGAACGGAAAAAGATGAATACCCCCCCCCCCTCTTAGTAGGACCTCCACACGGTGAGACAAAGCGCTCATTAACCTCACAAAAGCTGCAGCCATAAGAGTCCGGCAAGTAGGATCAGCCCTGTGTGTTTAATTACCTGCCCCGAGGTGACAGCACAACCAGCGGGGCCAAAGGAGACTTGGCACGACCCCGGAACCACACAAGCCAGCCTGCAGAAATGATCTGAAGAAGATCAGAGGACAACAGGCCGCTTAGGGGAGAATACTGTCAGGCACTGATGCAGGGTCAGCTGTCCTTCACAAAGGTGCAGAAAGTATCTTGGTTTGGGGGGGGGGGTCTCTCCCCAAACACCACCATGATCAGCTCCACTGGAGATCTCAGCCAGAACCCGGCCCCGAAAGCCAAACCCTATTATAAGTCCAACAGTAGCTATAAGAATATCAATTTCATATTTCATTTCGTGAGGTCATTTCATTCCCCAGGGAGAAAACTACTCATTTAAAAACATGTCACAGGGCACTGTTATTTTCCAAGACCCCTAAAGAAACCCAAAGCGATTTTTTTAGATTGAGGATTCCCTCCACCACCATCTCCCAACCAATAAGAAGATGAGAGATTTCATCTACAACAGGGCCGAAAACGACCAGGCCACCGTCGCCGTGTCACACTGGTGCCTCACCAGTCTCACAGAGGCTCTTCCATCCACCACGCTGCTCTGTTTGCTCAGCAGGCCAGTCGCGGATGTGTGAACCCAGCCCTAAGGAAACCTCCGGAACCAAAACACAGTGTTCAAGAAGTAGAATGCCATGTCCCAGAACAACCTAACATGCGGTCTCCCGGGAGAGAAGATTACGCAAGCTTTCATCAACAACAGACCGTGAAGCACCCTGCCTGCATCTAGTGAAAGGACAGGGGCACTGACCATGGCCTGGAAGCTTCTCTGAAGGACATTTTCACAGGGTCTGCCGCTGAGAATTTTGTGTTCACGTTCCCAGTAGATGCCGCTATCTGAAGCCACTTCCAGAACCTCCTACGTTTCAGAAGCAGCTGAAGTCTGGAGATGCAGCGATACTCAGCTTCCGGGACCCTCGGCACTGCCAGTGTCTGACACTGATGCTGCACTCGTCTTTGCGTGAGACAGCTCCTCTCCCTGCCCACACCTCCAAACACCGTGTGCATATCCCCCCTCCCCCCCCTCCCCACATGCGCTAATCCCCGATAAACGTGAGTACCGTTCATGCCGTTTATATCAGTGTCTGGAACATTACGGCCTACTTTTCATCACCGGGATTGTACTGGCGGCATGGAAACACTGACATGGCCCCTG